TCCTCACAGACCTATAGTGCTTAGTTATGAGCCTGTTATTAAAAAGTACATATAAAAGTAATAAAAGTCCAGTGAGAAATGCAAATTTTAAAAAATGCCTCTTGCTTAATGTGCAATAGCACACAAAAGACACTTGGTAGAGATACGTGCAAGATACTTGCATGGAATAGAATCAAGTCAGCTCTAAAAACATCAGTCCTGTGAAACTCAGTAAGGTCTTTCAGAAGAACTTTAGTAAAGTGAGTATAGGGCTTTGGTACCCATCTAGGAATCTCACCTTACCTCAACAGTTTGTGATTCATGGTTTATGGAGGAATAGGAATTTATATACCCACATATCCATATATTATTATCAGTGGGGTCAACTGCTACCCCTTCCATTTCCCTTTCATAACTACTTCCCTCTGCCCTGTCCTTATGTAAATGAGCAAGATTTCTAGCCAGACAAGCTAACTGCATTTAATGCAGTTTATGAAATATGCATTATAAAGTACAGCCTTCTCCTAAGAAAAATAAGTTACTTCAAAAGATAGAGAAAAATTTATTCTTATTTACCCAGAAGTTAATATAGATGTGTTGCAATTTGCTTGATAATACCTGTTGCCTCTAACATTTGATACTAAGCAGTTATGCTGTCAGGAGAAATAAGGTTATTTCAGATGAGAAAGACTCGTAAGATTATTAGACAAATGTTTTTTGGCTGGACATGATAAAAATTCCACTCAGATCAATGTAACTACTCATACTGACCTTTGGATCTCGCCCATTTGGGATCTTAAGAAGTTAGTTCATTTTAGGATAACAGAATTTTGGATGAAAAGCCTCTAAATATTGTTGATAACATAATGGTACAAATAAATCAAACTAAACCTTGATATTGGATGAAAATGAAAGACGTACTAATTTGTAGATTTAGCCTCTTTCTCATTATGTATTTTGCTATTGAATAAAGACAGACACAGCTAAACAAATTTCATCAGTGATCCTTTGGATAAGATGTGGTTTCTTGACATAGTTTACTTTCCATTTAAGCACGTGCTCATAATGTGTGCATAATTTAGCAAAAAGCAAAGATCACCAACAGTCCTATGGCTAGAGCTGGAAGCACTGTAACCATGTTTTGTAGCAGAAGCAGTATAGTCATGAACTATTTAGCCTGGATATTCTTTTTGTAAGGCTTTCAATATTATTTGCACATGGGGTTGCATAGAGTGATAATTACAGCAGAGTCAGAGATCTCAGAGATAACTGGAGAAACTCTTCACTGTGTCAAGCGCATCAATATTGACTCCAAATATAAAACCAAAAAGTTTTTTCATTTAAACTGAATTAAAATTAAAAGAATTAGTAGTAAATATAAAGAGCCAAATTTTTCAATTCTATTTCTTTCCATTCTTCTATTCACCTTCCACCTGGGTCTCCAGTTCATTTTCATACAGTTACGGACTTATGCCATAGTTTCTGCACTAAAATCAATTTCAAAAGTTGACATAGACTTTGACTGGCCAAAGCTCCCCAGGCCACAACTCAGGGCTGTCCCTAGAGTAGAATCCAGCAACATAGGCAGCCGGGTCTAGAACATACAAGAAAGCTGCTGAAACTACAGGACAGAGAGTCAGAATTTGCCAGTGAGCTGCTGAAGACTGACCCTAATCTATGGAAGGTACAAAAATTCCTAAATCTCATTAATACTTTCGTAGGTAAGCTTTAGAGATGTCTTTGAAATACAAAACCTAAAGTTGAAGTTACAATAGGGTAAATTTATTAAGGATAATTTTGTTACAACCGCCAAACTGCTGGCTTTTATAAAGAAGGTCTAGAGATTGTAAAGTCTTATACTAGGACATAAAGCTGAGCTACAACATTCAGAAAGTTCATAACAGGACAAAAATGAGTTTTGAAAACATCTTTGAGGCCAATCACATAAAACCCAGCAAAACAAAAAAGAAACGCAGCATCAGATCAGCCAAGAAATATCCACAAGATCCGTGTGAAGTCTAAGTATCTGAGGCACAGATTTTGGCATTCACAATTTTAAGAGCATTTTCTTATTAATACTTGAGGCAATCAGCAACTGAGACAAGCAATGCAATTGTAGGAGGTTATTCATTCAGGAATATATATCCCTTCTTGTTGAAAAAAATAATCTATTAGTAGGCTATAAAAAAGCTTATTTATTAAATGCTTTGTCCTAAAGACCACTTTTTTAATATCTTAGTTTAGGATATTTAAAGTTTGAATTTTGGGCTACTGAACAGACAAATAAACATCGGAAGATAAAGTACTTCAATGACAATTCACTTTGGCCCCAGTTACCTCCTCTCAGCTATAAATTCTTCATCTTCCAGGCTACTGTGATGGAACCAATATCCCAACAGTCTTCTCAGATATATGCCCTATTATACGAAAGGAAAAAAAAAAAGCAAGAATTACTAGAGATAAGCAGTTGGCATAGATTTTCAAGACATTAAGTATTTCCAATATAGAGAGAAAGGGTTTAAACACCCTCTAGCACAGCTGAAGAACACAAGTTTCTTAGCTATTGATCAAGTTAATGAGTTAATCCAATACATCCGTACATGACAGTTGCAAGCCCAAATGGGGCATATAAGAAAACAATATTTTATAGTCTGTATAATTAATGTTCAAAGAAAATAAACAAGAGAGTGGAGACAAATCTGAAAAGAAAAGAAATTTATGGGTAAGACAACTTTGTAACACTTAACTTTTCTTTACAATTGATGGCTAAAACTTGTTCCACCAAGACAGAATAGATGCACACAGTGTATGTTCGTATCTACGTCTCTGTCAGGGTGCACATGTACATAGCAGAAAAAGGAGTTTTACAATTAAAAATACCATACCCTTTTTCAAAGACATTGACAATTCAGGAAGCTGTAGTCATTGTGGATAATAATTCTAAGTAAATTAATTATGTGGGGTATTAGATGACATCTTTACTGTCTACCTGATCTCACTGCATAACAAGATGAATTGCTCCTAAACATTACTAGATGTGTTTTCTTGTACCAGAATATACATGAAAAATCTGTATTCTTACAAATAATTTCAACCTGGGGACATTCCTGGAGATTTCATGTGCCTTTCATACAAATTCCAAAAGGAATAGATGATTATTTGTTAGTATAGGAAGTCTTGCTCTTACTTTGACGTAACTGTTTATTGAACCCTATGCTTACGGGCAAAAGAGGATTAATTACAGGCCTAAAATCAGCCATTGCACTATTTTCTGGATCATTTTTTGATTACATTTCTAGAACATGGCCTCACTGTAATATGCATGGTTGGGAATCCAGAAGAACCACTCTCCAAAACCCCAGGTACTTGCTAGCATAATTCACTGGGAATACACATGTACGCTAAGAAGTACTAATGAAAACTGAGGATTGTTTCAAGATATACCACCAATTACCTCAAAAAAGCCACAATAGGATTGCAATGTAAAAGAAGCCATCCTGGTTAAAAGCAGGTGCAGAAGCAGAAATAAGTCACTCAAAATGGTAATGGGGGTTAAAGAAGGAGAAGGAAGTAGAATGAATATGTTAAATACTAGTGTCTAGAAAATACATTAAAAGAACCTAAGATGAAAAACCAGTCAACTGATTGGTCAGTTGATCTGACCTGGGTCTTAAATCAGGTAGTGTAACAATTAATTTAAGATTCTATCAAAAAGAATTTAAGGCTGAAAATATTGTGGCTGCTAGTCCACATGGTTTCAAGGAAAGCAGACCTTATCAAGCAATCACAGAAAGTGCTTATAACTAGAAGAGCCCCCAGGCTGGCATTTTGGCTTGGCATAATACAATAGAATGATTAACCTTCTAGATATAAATAGAAAACTTCTACTGATGGCAGTTTTCAGATGATACAGTCCAAAAGAATCATAAAGAGAATATTGCTAAAAGCAAACTTGATCTGGTTAGATGGCCGTAATCCAGCAAAATACATTTTAATCCAACTACATGAAACTTAAAACATGCAGAACGAGCTACAATGGCAGTATGTGAGACTGTCTTGCGAGAAAGGGAGAAGGGCGAAATACTTGCAAGAGTTCAGAGAAAATCTACAGAAATACCTCAGAGCTCAGAAAAATCGAATTAGGTGAGAAATTTTGTGTTTAGGTCCTCAAACAGAGAAAGTTACTTTGTACAGTAATTTCAGTCACATAGAACTACCATACATAATGTAAAATATTAACTTTGACTTTCTATGTTGTAGCAAACAAAAGCTGTTGCAATTTCGAGCTCATATGAGTAGTGCTTCTATTTGGTGAACAGCTGTCTATGTAGCTTGGAATGAAGAATAAATTTTGGTGCTTTTTCTTGAAAGCCACAGTTTATTAAGTATTTAAAAAATTTTAAAGTGTAAATGAACCAATTATCTTGAAGAAGCTAGCTAATTAATTGCCAAAAACTTCATTAAGAGTCAGCATGTGTGTAAATAACGTACACAGAGTTAAGGAGTGAGATGTTTTATACAGATTAAAATACAGTTATAGACACTGATATGAAGAATTTATAATGCTAGATTATGATCCAAAAAGCTTTTTGTCATGAGTCTGGGATATGAAAGTGTAGCAGGTCATTTCAGGCAAGATTAACCTGCCAGAGAAAGGTAATTCTTCAAGTTTTCTCCATTCAGGTCAGATACAGGCAAAGTACACTGTCCAGTAACAAATGGAGTTATACAGGCACTATAGCAAGAGTTTCTAGACAAGGACTTCCAACATTAAGGACTTTCTACATGCAAATATACAATCTATCCTTCAGGTAATGTAGTCATGGTCCTAGCATAAGGGATTCTCACAGCCAAAAATCATTCAGGAATGGCCTGTTTATAGGATAAAAACTAAACTCAAGGCTTCTAAAGATAGAGGCTTAATATTAATGCAATTCTTCCTCCTTTTACCCTACTGGTTTATGCAAGTTTTAAAATTCTCTGGGGCAGATCTGACTTTTCAATATTTGTAAGACACTTACCAGCACCACTTTCTATGAAATTACCAGCCAGCTTGCTGGATGAGGCATATGAGAGTCCTACTGCAGTGAAATCATTGTCGTAGTAGTAATTCACCAGCTGGAGGAGGAGGGAAGTGAAATATGAAAAAATCTAGGGAAAGGAAAGAGGAATTATTTTCATGGTCGATCAATGAAGGCAGAACAAAAAAAAAACAACAAGTCTAAATGACAGTTTTAAAGGCCTCCAAGGAATGTGGATACTCTTACAGGAAAATTTGGATCCCTGCTCTGAAAGGGACACTGCCAAGGATTTATATTCATTGCCAGCCAGTGCTCTAATGTTACAAAGGCCACACCAAAGACTGAAATGAAAAAGCTGAAAAACAAGTACTATTGCACTGTAGGACTACAGATAGACAAGTTGCTTCCTAAGATGAAAAGGTGGATGGGTCATGCATATTGCATTTAAGGTTTCAAGATCAACATTACATTTATCAGCAATTTTGTTGTAATTCTTAAAGCCAAGCATCAGGTAAAAAAACACATCCTTCATCACTTTTGGGTTGCAGAGATTTTGAGGAATGTATATGCTGTTAGTGTAGTTTATTAATGCGTTACAGATGTGTGAGCAGTATAAATCAAAAAGGATCGTAAAGCAACACACAGTTTTAATCTCTTAGGTGTGTGGAGGTAAAAGTGAAAAAAACTCACATAATTCTTTAGTATGATGCATGAATCACAGAACAGATCCAAAGCCCTGTACAGTGAGGTGAAGTTTTGCCATTGATTTCACAGCTGTTGATTTCACCGGCTGTAGATAAGACCCATATCTTCGGACCAAGGTAAGTCGCAATGGCTAAATATTGATTTGGTTAGCAAAAAAGTAGCCACGATTGTACTTGACTGCCTCTTGCCTTGGGGGCATGCCTATACACACATTGTTATTTAATCCATGTAAATCAGTGTGCGTTAGCCAGCATAAATTAGGAATGTATTATTTTTTGAGGGATAGATTTATATCTCCCATCCCCAAATTATGAATACGAATGTATGTAATTTAATTTCATTTTTGTAACTCAGAAAATTACTGTTCCCATTTTATGTACGGACAGCTGAGGCACAACAATACAAAGGCCCAGGTCTTCTGAGACTTCTAACCGCATAGTTCTCCCTGACTTTGATAGGCTGAAAGGGTAACAAGTCAGACTAGTTTTTCCATGAAGGCCTTGATTTTCTGACTTGTATGGGGAAAAATAAAGTGATTTTCACATTAACACCACATAAATAGGTTTCTGCATCTCTCTCTTGCAGGATAAGGAATGGGCCCTTGTCTTCTTTTCATTCTGTTGCAGCTGTGCGTATGAAAAAGGCAAATCAAGGCTGACAGGAGAATAAAAACAGTCCATAAGGTTTCCTTTTTCAATGTTATGATTGTCATGAAAAAGAAACAACAAATCAAAAAAAAAAAACTAAGCCTCCTCTTACTGCTAATATAATACCTCTCAAAAATACTACCTTTTTATTTTCTTCCTTCATGCAGCTTGTGTGCTGCACGTCTACAAGATGACTTGCCAATAGTTCTGGGCATACATGACATACAGTCCAGAGTTATTTTCCAAGTTCATTTATGAATGTTTTTATTTAAAATCAGAATATCCTGTAATGACTGTCCAGACATCTTTTGAGATAGGCACCGCTTTCTAAAATTCTTCGGATAAAGCAAAGCACATGTTCCTCACACTTTAATCACTATCCTGTTTTAGATCTAGAAAGACAATGATAATCTTTCACTTCATTTCGCAGATCACCTCCTGCCTTTGTGGGTTTATTGCAGATTAAATACCTACTCAGGATAGGATACTCTACCATAAAGAATAAGAGGAACAAAACATTGAGTCATACTGAGGAAAGAGAAAAATGTTCTGGCTGTGGGGCCCAACCCCTTGTGTAGACTGTAGATAAAGAAAACAGTTATATTATTGCATAGGGATCCTTGTTCCTGAAGAACAGTAGTTATTGTGAGGAGAGAAAGACCTGCTATGAAACATCCTCTCCTTGCATGAGCTGAGAGTTATTCCTGTACCATTTCAGTCCTCCTTCTTCTTTACCCTATATTCAGAAAAGCAACCCCATTTATCAGTTTATTGTCCTGCTCAAAATTCTGTGGCAAGGCAGGATGGACAAGAACTTCTGCCAAAGATTTGTTTCTCAGAGGATTAGAGGCTCCAATGACCAAAGATGAAAGATACTTGTGGTACTTTGCACTCATACTGTAAAAACCCATGAGAAGCAAGTTACCATTACAAAACAATATCTGAATTAAATCTTTCAATGCCAAAAAAAAAATCTTTTTACAGAAAGACAGAGGAAGAGGGAATACTTATAACATCAAGATCTGTAGGATGTGCCCCTTTCTCACTAGGCTGTTGTGATTATTCACAGGAGGAGGACTTCTTAACATGAAAGACAAAATCCAGTAAAGCGGTGGAAAGCTCAGGTGAAGGGAAAACGCAATATTCAGAATAGAGATTTAAAATAGTCTGCTTTTCTGCCTCAGGACACTCTCTGACTTGGAAGTTCTGGGTTCCCCAGTATAACAGAGACATGAGGCTACTAGAGTGAGTCCAGCAAAGTACTACTAAGATGATGAAGGGATTGGAGTCTCTCTCCTGTGAGGACAGGATGAGAGAGCTGAGACTCTTTGGCCTGCAGAAGAGAAGACTGAGGGGGGATCTTACCAATGTATTTAAATATCTGAAGGGACGATGTAAAGAAGATAAGGCCAGACTCTTCTCAGAGGTCCCCAGCGATAGGATGAAATGCAATGGGCACAACTAAAACACAGGAAGTTCCACCTAAACATAAGGAGAAACTTATTTACTGTGAGGGTGACTGAGCACTGGAGCAGGTTGCCCAGAGAGGTTGTGGAGTCTCCATGGCTGGAGATATTAAAACGTCAACTGGACACAATCCGAAGAAATACATTTTAGGTAACCTTGCTTGAGCAGGGGGGTTGGACTAGATGATCTCCAGAGGTCCCTTCCAACCTCAACCATTCTGTGTTTCTGTGATTCTGTATTTAGGGTAAGGAGACGAAGAAAGATTAGAGCCCCCGGTGGAGTGAGGCTGCAAAGGGCATGCCAAAGACAATGTGGGGCTGCACCCAGGTTGCTCCCAGGACAACTTTATATTCTAGGCAAGGTATGGGGCTAGCGGGCTCAGGTTCAGGCCATGCCGGAAATTAGTGTTAGGATTTATGTTAAATTTAGGAAAGAGGAAAGCGTAGAGACCCACAAGTAGGGCTGCAGAGGACATGAAAAAGAAAATGCACGGCTGCACCACGATTGCTTCCAGGACAATTTTTACTGTAGGCTAATGGCCTGATATTCAGGCCACACCTGAGACTAGCAGTAGGGTTAGCCTTAGGGCTAGGGTTAGGGTTAGGGTTAGGAGAGAGAGAAAGCCTAGAGCCCCATATGGAATGGGGCTGCAAAGGGCATGCCAAAGGAAATGGGTCATTGCACCAAGATTGCTCCAAGGATTACTTTGTCTTTTAAGACACACCTATGGGGCTCTTGGCTGCAAATGCAGGCCACGCCTGACACGAGTGGTAGAATTAGGGTTAGTGTTAGCATTAGCATTAGTGTTAATGTTAGCAGAAAGGGAAAGCCTAGAGCCTCATGTAGAGTTGGGCTGCAGAGGACTTGCCAAATGAGATACGGGGCTGCACCAATGTTGCTCCTAAAACTGCTTTGGCCCTGAGCCACTTATGGGGCTGATAGCAGCAAATGTAGGCTGCACCTAAAATTAGTGGTAGGGCTAGGGTTACGGTTAGGGATAGAGTTAGGGTTAGGTTTAGGAAAGAGAGAAACCTACAGCCCCACGTGGAGTGGAGCTGCAAAGGGTATGCCAAAGGAAATGCAGGGCTGCACCAACATTGCTCCTCAGACTGCTTTGTCTTTTCAGCTACCTATGGGAGTGGTGGTGTCAGATGCAGGCCATGCCTAAAGCCCCATTTGAATGGGGCTGCAAAGGCCATGCCAAAGGCAATGTGGCACAGCACCAAGACTACTCCCAGGACTACTTTAACCCTGAGTCACCAGTGGAGCTGATGGGCTTACATTCAAACCACACAGATGAGTATGAGATGAGTAGTAGGATTAGTGCTATGGTCAGAGTTAGGAGAAAGAGAAAGCTCAGAGTCCGACGTGGAGTGCGGCTGCAAAAGGCAATGCAGCACAGCAACGAGATTGCTCCCAGCACCACTCCTGCCTTTCTCCATGAATGGGGTTAGTGGCATCAAATCCAGGCCTCCTCAGAGATTAAGCGTAGGGTTAGGGATAGGCCTAGGGTTAGAGTTAGGAGAAAGAACAAGCCCAGACTCTAGTGGGGCTTCAGAGAGCATGGCAAAGGCCATTTGAGGCTGCACCAAGATTACTCCCAAGATTACTGTGGCTCTGAGTCTCCATTGGGGCTGATGAGGTTAAATTCAGGCCATGCCCGAGATTAAGCGTAGGGCTAGGGTTAGGGTTAGGGTTAAGGTTAGGGTTAGGGTTAGGGTTAGGGTTAGGGTTAGCCCTAGGGCTAGGGTTAGGAGAGAGAGAAAGCCTAGATCCCCACATGGAGTGGGGCTGCAGAGAACATACCAAAGGAAATATGGTGCTGCACCGAGATTGCTTCCAGCACTACTTTGTCTTTTAAGCCACCTATGGCGCTAGTGGCAGCCAATTCAGGGCATGCCTAAAATTAGGTTTAGAGTTAGGCTTAGCCTTAAGGTTAGGATTAGGAGAGAGGGAAAGCCTAGAGCCACATGTAGGGTGGGGCTGCAAAGGGCATTCCAAAGTAAATGTGGGACTGCACTGAGACTGCTCCCACCAAAACTTTTGCCTTTGAGCCTCACTTGGACTGGTGAGTTCAGGGTCAGGCCCAGCCTGAGGTCAGCCTTAGGGTAAGGGTTTGGACTGGAGTTAAGGATAAAGCCTAGAGTCACAGGTGGAGTGGGCCTGTACCGGTGTTCACATTGACAGGGTTGTTCTTAACACAAAGACCAGGCCACTCTCTTATTGTCTGTGTTACTGTGCCCAGCTACATCCCGGCTCTCAGCTTGCTTGCCTTAGCTCCTGAGCCCCTTAACCACCCTCACCTTTAGCAAAGCTCACCTGCGGTTGGGTGGTGTGCCAGACCATCGCTTCAAAAGGCATCTGGCAGGTCTTTCTGAAATATTTGGCAGGAAAAGATGCCTGCCTTTCGTATCCAGATTTCTAAATTCCTAGAGCTGAGAGGCGCAGCAGACCTTAGGCAGTCTGCAGTGCACCTTGTAACACAAAGAGTGTTTGCACAATGCAGATTGTCCCCCAGAATCACAAGAGTGATTTGGCAGTGGAGGTAAGTTGAAGCAGGAAGGCCAGGTGCTCAGCTGATGTAAAATGGCTTAGGTCCATGGACATCACTGGCGCTTCATTGCTTTCCACGTCCGGATCTGATTCGTAAGCCCCGACACCTTGACTGAGTGCAGAGCACTCCAAGAATGAAACCTGGGTTCTGGAGCACCGTCTGGGCCCTGGATCTCAAGTGGGCACAGGCCCTCCTGCTTGAATCCTCCAAAGCTGGAGTCCTCCTCTGCCAGCAACTACAGGGCATGTTGCAGCCGTGCCAGAGAGATTCCCCTTTGTGCCCACGGCCCCTGGCCCGTGCCCCTGGTGCTGCCCCATGGCCTGGCTGGCGTATCATAATTTGTGTGGTGGCATCAGGTAGCCATGGCCACCAGCGCCCACCTGTCCCCCAATGCAGCGCTGTGCCAGCGCGGGGCAGCAGGGAGAAGCAGTTTCCCAGCCCAGTGGCACTGCTTGGGACAGGGACACTGCTCTCAGCCTTGCTCAAGCTTGGTCGTTGTCTGGCGTTGCTTGGCGAGGAGCACAGCTGCACCACAGTCGTTTGCCCAGCCGTAACACATTGTTTCGGGTTACAGTTTTGGTTACAAGGGAAAGAAAGCCTGGACACCCACGTGGAGTGGGGCTGCAAAGGGCATGCCAAAGCAAATGCAGCAAATGCAGGGCTGCAGCAACGTTGATCTCAGAGCAACTTTTTTATTAAGGCCATGAATGGAACTGGGGATCAGTTTTGTCCCCACCTGAGATTAGCCTTTGGATTCGGGTTCGGGTTC